CCAAACCAAAAAATATCGATTTTTTTGGTCGGTTTGGTTTGATTTTCGGTTTAGTTCGGTTTTTCGGGTTTTTATGAACACCCCTAACTGCTGTTGTCCGGGACCTGGATCTGTGCAAAAGAGCACAGAGTGTAGTATCAGCACAACCGACCCCATGTGCTGGTAAGTGCCTAGCCTAACCTCGGCGAAGTAGTGACGAGGCTAGACAGGACTACCACATAACCTGTACAGTTAATATATATAATAATATATATATATATATATATATATATATATATATATATATATATATATATATATAACGGGAAAATAATAAGAACAAACATTTTAAATGGGAGGGGAACATGCTTCGGGGATAGCAGATAATACAGAATTTCAAGAAAATAATAAAGAACATCAATAATTTAACTCTAACACGGATAAGGGAAATAAAAGCAGATTTCACTGTCAGTACATATCTCGTTGCAGGTGTGCAACCCGATCCCATTTCATTAAATCTCGTGGCAGGCGTACCATCCGCTCCCATTTCATTAAATCTCGTGGTAGGCGTACCACCCGCTTCCATTTCATCAAATCTCATGGTAGGCGTACCACCCGCTCCCATTTCATTAAGTCAACAGTTCTTCCAAATGAAATTTACTCTAACAAACGCAACAATTAATACGAATTCATAAGACAACAAGTACACAATAATTATGACTCACTGAGAAAAACAAGTAATGACAAGTAGCAATTAATTATGGACTTAAGGAGCAAATAGGCAATTTAATATTTAGTATGCTAAATGTCAAGTAGCAATTAAGTCACATAAACATGTAGCAATTATAGCATAAATTCAAGGCATAATGTTGCGCAAGGATACCTCGAGCCAATAATAACAAGTAACACAATAAAGGAAAATGCCAACATAAAGAATCACAGTAATAGTGGAATAAGACAATTAATGCACTTGAACCGATAATAACAAGAAAATCAGTAAATAGAAGTAAAGGACAACATAACTCAATTATCAACAAAAATCAGGAAAATCAAAGACAAGTGCATGGCATTACCCTTCGTGCTTTTACTCTCGTCCTCACCAAGCAATAATATAATGAAAACGTGCACAGCATCACCCTTCGTGCTTTTACTCTCTTTCCTCACCAAAGCAATTAGAATAATAAAATGTGCACGGCATCACCCTTCGTGCTTTTACTCTCTTTCCTCACATAATCAATAGAATTGGCGCGGAATGGTACATCGTGCGGCACGGCATCACCCTTCGTGCTTTACACTCTTTCCTCACAATAGCAAACAATGCACGGCATCACCCTTCGTGCTTTAACACTCTTCCTCACCCAAACAACAATCACAAACAAGGGCAAGGGAAATAAACAAGAACATATAGGAATCCCGGCAAGGGAACAACAATTTAACAATTAAATCCCGGCAAGGGAGCAACAAGTAAATAATTAAATCTCGGCAAGAGAACAACAATTAAATAATTAAATTCCGGCAAGGGAACATTTCAATAACTCTTTCTCTATCGTTCACTTGTACTTCATAACTCACTTTACCACTTGAGCCAATGCTCCAAAGGGTTCAATCATCTCATATACTTTCATAATTCATAATATAACTCGAGTCAGTGCTCCAAAATGTTCAAAGGTCTCAATTCCTTCCACAAACTTTTCACAACAATTAGAAATCATCACCAAAGTATGAAGAATGCAACGAAATTATGAAAATCACAATATAAGACTCACGGTCATACTTGACACCAACGTATAGATACTCGTCACCATGCCTATACGTCGTACTCAACAATTATCACATAGCAAATAGGACTCAACTCCTAATCCCTCAAGCTAAGGTTAGACCAAACACTTACCTCGATGCCTTGAACACAACTCAAGTCTCAATTATAGCTTTACCCCTTGATTCCACCGCCAATTCGCTCGTATCTAATCACAAATTACTTAATTACATCAATAAGTGCTAAATGAATCAACCCCAATGCATGAAAATGTGTTTTCCAAAGTTTTACCCAAAAAGTCAAAAATTGCCCCGGGGCCCACGTGGTCAAAACCCGAGGTTCGAACCAAAACTCGATTACCCATTCCCCCACGAACTCAAATATATAATTTGTTTGAAATCGGACCTCAAATCGAGGTCCAAATCCCCAATTTTTGAAAAACCTAGGATCTACCCAAAACACCCAATTTCCCCAATGAAAATCTTTGATTTTAGGTTAAAATCATGTTAAAAGATGTTAATGATTCAAAGAAATGAGTAAAAACTAACTTACAATTGATTTGGAAGAAGACTTGTTTTTGGAAAATCGCCTAAGTGTGTTTGGGTTTGAGAAAATATGAAAAATGAAGCTCAAAATCGTTTAAGTGTAAAAATTGCAGGTCTCAGATATGAAAAATGTGAACAGGAGTTCGCAATTGCGAACCCCGACCTGCTGATGTGGGAATTGCAAAGACAGGGTTCGCATTTGCGAACCCTTGAGAAATACTAGACCTTCGCATTTGCGACATGATGGTCGCATTTGCGATGACAATTCTCGCATTTGCGAGAAAGGCTGGCCTGGGCCTACTTCGCAATTGCGAAAGGCCGCTCGCATTTGCGATATCGCATTTGCGAGTCAGGCTCCGCAAATGCGAAGCCTGCAGGCCTGCTATGCTCAGCTGTAATTTCTGCAATTTTTCTTAAGTTCAAACCTTCCCGAATCACATCCGAAACACACCCGAGCCCTCGGGACTCCTAACCAAACACACGTACCAACTCAATAACATCATACGGACTTATTCGTGCGATCAAATCGCCAAAATAACATCATTATCAACAAATTAAACCTCAAAATCAAAGCATTTTTCTCAAACTTCATCAAGTATCAAATTTAGCGATTTAAGTCGAATCACGTCAAACGACGTCCGTTTTCACCAAATTTTACAGAAACATCTTAAATCATATATAAGACCTGTACCGGCGGCCGGAACCAAAATACGAGTCCGATACCAACACGTTCTAATCAAATTTCATTTCAAATTTCCTTAAACAATTTCAAAAAATAATTTCCTTTAAAAATTCATTTCTCGGGCTTGGGACCTCGGAATTCGATTTCGGGCATACGCCCAAGTCCCATATTTTCCTACGGACCCTCCGGGACCGTCAAATTACGGGTCCGGGTCCGTTTACCCAAAACGTTGACCAAGGTCAAATTTATTCATTTTAATATCAAAACTTAGCATTTTTCGCAGAATTTCATATTTAAGCCTTCCGGCTACGCGCCCGGACTGCGCACGTAAATCGAGGCGACTCTAAATGAGGTTTTCAAGACCTCGGAGTCTTAGAATTCAATTAAAAACAAGTGATGACCCCTTTGGGTCGTCACACTCCCATTGATGCCAAGATGCGGGAATCGGGGCTAAGGTGATTCGGCATGTTAAGAGGAGAAGCACAGATGCTCCGGTAAGGAGGTGTGAACGGCTAGTTGTGGAGGGCACGAGAAGAGGTAGATGGCGACCTAAGAAATATTGGGGTGAGGTGATCAGGCAGGATATGGCGAGGCTTTGGATTTTCGAGGACATGACACTTGACAGGAAGATGTGGAGGTCGAGTATTAGGGTTGTAGGTTAGGAGGTAGTTTAGTCTTGCCTTACTTCGCACCTTTGTAAGACTAGTCTGGTAGAGTTTTTTTGTCTAAGATAGTTAGTGGCAATGTTGTGTCTTACTGTTTCGCTTTTCAATGCAGGACCTTTTGATTAGCTTTCGCTTTTGGTTTGCATCTTTCTTCTAGATTTCATATTGTTCCGATTTTTCCTACGATTTCTGTGGTACTACTAATATTGTCTCATTTTTGTCTTTTTGTTTTCTTGAGCCGAGGGTCTTCCGGAAACAACCTCTCTACTCCTTCGGGGTAGGGCTAAGGTCTGTGTACACAGTATCCCCCCCCCCAGACCCCACTAGTGGAATTTTACTGAGTTATTGTTGTTGTTGTTGTTGTTGTTCTAATTCGTACCCTACTTTTTTTTTTTGTAATATTGCACATTTATTTTTTATATTACTGGTATGTGACATCGTAAAATAACGATATCCAAAAGTTATATTCATTAAAATGATATAATACAATACAATACAATATAAACAATATAATATAATACGTTACGAAACAATATGAAGCAACCATCCAAACAAGATTTTCCAAACACCTCACCTATATATATATAGCACATGCATTTATCACGTAGAGCGCCAAATGAGGAATGAGGTAATTTGCACTCGAAATAATGACATTAGCAAGAAAACTTAATAAAAGGAAAGAATAAAAATAGGAGAAAGGATATGTCCATGTCAAAGACTGTTAAGGCTAGAGTATGAAGTGAAACAAATAACAAAACTAGGAAAGCGCGCCCCTCTTCTTCCCACAGCAGTCACAGTCCCCTGCAGACCTCTCATCAGCGTCTTCTCTTTATAAGACTCAACTCTCTAACTTTCTTCACGAAAAGCTTGTGATTCCTTTTTCCTCGAGCAAAAGCGATTCCTTAAAAGTAAGATAGTTCTCCTCTTAACATATTATCGGTCACATCGAAATTTTGTATGGAATTTGTCACTCATCCCCTCCCACCTTAACCATGAACAGTCTTATACTCTCTCCGATTCATAATAAGTGTCCAATTTGCTTTTAGCACACTCATTAAGAAAATACTAAATTCTATACAAAAATACCTACTATGACTAAACTACCCCCAATTAAACATTTAATGTGAGGAGTAAGAAAATTTTTTAGGGATATGTACATAAGGGTTATTTTGTAAAAACAAATTGAATTCTTTCTTTTTTTTTTTTGGTCAAAATAAACTTTATTTAACCAAGAACAAATATAAAGTGCCTCTAACTCTTTAGGACTCAAGAGTTAGACTCATTACATCAATACAACCACTTTAACTACTTTTTGGAAAAACACTCTTGACTAATTCGACATACAATAGCAACCAAATACAGACATATACTTCCTATGGAAAACTATTCAGCTGCTCAAGTCTCTTCTTCCATTTCGCATTTTGCTGTCCTTTAATTTGGATTTGAAGGACAATGTCTCTAATCTTTCTCTCTGCTTCCTTCTCCTTCCCTTGAAATCTTCTCATATTCCTTTCTGTCCATACTTGATACGTTACTGCAGCAAACAAGAAGACCAGAATGTTGTTTTGGGCTCGACCACTTCTTGCTCGTTTACTCATCCAGGCAACCTCTTCAAGCCATGTGCCTATCTGGTGATTTTCCCCCATCCAAGCAAGCAGCTTGCTCCAAATATACCTTGTATATTGACATTCAAAGTATATGTGTTCCATATTTTCAGTCTGTCCTCACTTACATAATACACAGTCTTGGTCTACTTGAATTCCCCATTTTGCAAGGCGATTCACAGTAGTCAGTCTGTGATTTAAGGCTAACCACAAGACAAAGTTGTGCCTAGGAATACCATTTCCCAGCGTCAATGCTTTCCATTCAACTTTAAGGTATTGAGGTCTTGATAGAGTATACATTTTGTGGATCACACAAAATTTATCCATGTTTGCAACTGTTTCTATCTTCTTATACCAATCCCTAATATCAAAGATCTTCTTGACTAACCAACTAGCTTGCCTTGGTGTCTGCATCACAGTAAAGTCTTCCTTCTTTATGTACATAGCATGTATCCATTTGATCCATAATGCATCCTTTTTCATGTGTATTGCCCACATCATTTTACATATAGCAGCCTTGTTCCACCATTCAAAGCTAATCACATTTAATCCCCTTGCAGAAGTAGGCATACATATTCTCTCCCATGCAATTAGAGCTCTTTTTGAGGGGTTGTAATTGCCTGTCCATAGAAAGATTCGACATACAGCATTTACTAACTGTATAATCTTCTTTGGAATAATGAATACATGTCCCCAGTATGTTTGCATTTCAAATAGTATACTTTTTATCAGCTGCAATCGACCACTGTATGACAGCAACTTCGAAGTCCAGCACTTTATTCTATTTGTGATCCTTTCCACCAGAGGTAAACACTGATGTATTGACAGCTTCCTGGAAGACAGTGGTACCCCCAAGTACTTAAAGGGTAGAGTCTCCATTTTAAACTGAAACTCTGAGCATATCATTTCCTTGAAATCTAGACTCACACCAACCAAAATTTAAATCTGGAACATCTTTGAGAGTCTTCAAGGTTCTGTTGAGATACTCCATTACTAGGACAAAGAGGTATGGTGACATAGGATCCCCCTGCCTCAATCCCTTTTCTGCTTTAAACCTTTTAGTCAAACCTCCATTGATCAGAATAGAGTAACTAGCATTTGTTACACATTCCATGATCAGTTGAACTATCTTGCTAGGAAACCCTTACTTCAGTAGCACCATCTGTAGGAAAGGCCATTCAACAGAATCATATGCTTTCGTTATATTTACTCTAATAATGCATCTTGGGGACACTCCTTTTTTGTTGTATCCTTTCACCAGTTCATGAGCAATGATCACATTATCCAGTATGCTTCTCCCCCCAATAAATGCTGATTGAGCTGGTCCAACTATATGATCCACCACTGACTTTAGTCTATTTGTGAGTATCCTAGCTATGAGTTTATACACAGTAGTACAGCAAGCTATAGGCCTAAACTCTTTTACATAGGTTGGACTGGCTACCTTTGGCACAAATGTGATTGTAGCACTACATATTTCCTTCAGTAATTTCCCTGTGTTGAAGAACTCTATCACTGCCTTGATCACCTCTACACCAACTATATGCCAGTACTCTCTGAAGAATTCCACTGGAAAGCCATCAATACCAGGTGCCTTGTCTCTTGGCAGTTGTTTCAACCCCTGAAGTATCTCAGCTTTTGTTACTGCTTTAATCAATTCCAGCTGATGTTCTCACTTCAAGCATGGACCATTTCTAGCTATATTCACATCAAGGCAAGACAGTTCAGCTGCCTTTGTTCCCAATAACCTCTCAAAAAAATAAAAAAGCAAATTGGACACTTATTGTGAACCGGAGGGAGTAGCATCTTTGGTCAAGTTTTTTCGGTTTTGGAAAAGCTGAAAAAATAGTTTCTCTCCAAAAGAGTTTTTTTGAAAAGCAGTTTAAAGAAAAATACAGTTAGAAATATTTTTTAAAAACTTCGTCAAATATATTTGTTGTTTAAAAATATTTTTCAAATTAATTAGTCAAATACAAACTTTAAAGAAAAGCAATTTTGGTTAAAAAAAAACTCCCCCCGTTCAATTTATGTGAAGTTATTTTCTTTTTGGTTTGTTCAAAAAAGAATGACCCATTTTTATATTCGGAAACAATTTAGCTTTTATAACCTCACAAATAATCTGGGCCCCTTTTTGACTTGTTTAGGACCACAAATTTTAAAAGTATTTATTTTTTCTTAAACTCCGAACGCAGTCAAACAGATTTACGTGAATTAGAACAGAGGAAATACTTCTCAAAATAAATTGATTTTTGGAAACTTAGCTAAACAGCTATCTGTGTGTCCACAACTCCAAATCAACATGCCATAATGACCACTCTATTGTTACGCTCTTTGATTTAGAATTCCTTTTTTTTTCAAATAAATATTCCTTTCATTTTAAAAAGAATTAATCTTTTACCACTTAGGGAATCAAATAAAGTTTTTTTTTTTTTACTTTTTTAGAATAATTCATAAATACATTAAATTGTTACTATTGTGACATTATGCTATTTTTTATGTAGTTTTTGAATATATAAATTTATTTCCAAAAATTAAAGGAATCTATATCCAAATTTACACCAAAATTAATTAATTTTGATTTTCATACTTGGAAAAAGTCCAAACAATTGAAACAAAAGGATAATAAACTGCATAAAACTCGAAGAAATAGTGGAAGACTTTGCTCATAAGTTAAAGTGAACGGAAACCATTAAAAACTCGAGTTCAAATTCAAGTAGAGACAAAGCGTCAAATAAATTATTGAGTACCTATACCAAATTAGAAACATATATCTAGTAAAATAATTAAAATGCACACATACTGAGTCGGGTATCACCGTTATTAAAAACAAAACAAGAAAACAGAAAATGAATAGTGCAAAACCAAGTCGTTAGGATTAGGCGAATACTTACGGCTCACGCCATGAATATATTGGGAATTGGATGTTGCCCCGTGCCTAACCCTAAGCTCATATACTTCTCACTTTTCTACGGCCTGCTTACTAAAGGTTGAAACGTTCCAAACGCACTTGTCATCTTTTGCCTTTTCCCTCCTTTTTTTTGCACAATAATACAAACACCAAAAAATAAAGAATTAAAACAAGGGTATGCACCATATAGTTTTTCCAAAGTCTTTTCTTTTCCTTCATTTTTTTCTGGGAATTTTATCTGGAAAGTACATTAAAGACTCCTCCATCCGTTACACTAAACTTTGAAACCTACCTCACCAAATCATGGGTCCATGTTAGCAATGTACATCTAAACCGGGCCTAGCTCACTCACTAAACCTGCTCCGGTTCTCTTTTTTTCCTTCATCTAAAATACCTTTCTTTCCTAACTAAAAATAAAATTCCCTACACTGCAAACACCTTTTTTAATAATTAAAATATCTTCAAAAACTCTGAACCGGCTAAGCTGAACCGCTTTCTTCAAATTCCTTCTTCCGCCGCATCTCCAAAACTTTCCGGTGATTGTTCGAGTGCAACTCGCTTGAAAACGTTGGGCTGCAAGCCGGCCGGTATTCCGGAAGCAGCCGACCGGACTTGAAGCGAACCCCACAAGCGTTACAAAGCGTTTTCGCACCCATTGGCCCGGCCCGCCACTGGGGGGTTTTTTGAACCCCACAATGACTGCACCGCCGCGGTTGTTGAGGCCCATTTCCACCTTGAACCGCCGGTTTCCTCTTTGGTTTCTTAGCTAGCGGTTTACCTGGTGACTCAGCAGTGTGAACCGGAATTTGGTAAAGGACCCAATTGGAAGGAGATGAGGACATGGTTGTGGTGGAGGAAGACGAAGATGAAGAGGAAGATGACTCGGTCAATGAACCTGAACCGGCTGGCCAAACTCGAACGCTAGTCCTCCCACGCTTGGTTCTCGCCTTGGTTTGAACCGGAGTGATGAAACATGACTTCTCTTGAACCGGAATTTCACAGTCCTCCGACTGGTTCACGACCGGCTTGACCGGTAGTTTTCCGGCAGGATAAGTTAGTGAGTATTCAGAAAACGAGTCTTCAACAAAATGAGACAGCCATTCAAGGCTATCCAAGTCATCCGCCTGTTAAAAAACCGTTCTTTACACTTCAGTTGAAAAAAACACTTCAAATTTTAAAAAAGCGTTTCTTTTTAATGAAAAAAACGAAACTTTTCAACAGAAACGTAAGAGGGGTGGCAAAGGACTTACCGGAACAATGAGTTCACTCCCAGGAAGAGAATCAAAATCTTCTTTTGCAGGAGGAGAAACGGTGTCGTTTTCCTTCTCAGCTTCTTTGTCCTCAAGTTGTTTTTGGGGCGAAACAGAAACTGAAACGGAACAAATTTTGTGAACAGCGTTATCTTCTCCTTTTTCTTCTTCTCCTTGGTCTTCAACGAAGCCATTGGAGAAGTCAAGGAGGTCGTCAACGAAGAAGTCGTCGCCGGAGACAACATTTTGACCGTTTCCATTGGCCCACAAGTCATCCCCATAGGCTTGTTGGTGGTTCGTTTTCAACGCTGCCTCAGACATAAAACTGCTTTTCAACGCCCCTTCCACACAGTCCATTCCCTATTTTTAAAAAACCATAACAGTTACAAAATCAAATTCATTTCACAACAAGAAAGATTAAAAAAAAATAACAACTTTAGGGTTTAAGGAAGAAGAAAAGTATATACCTGGTCAGAAGGCGAATGAGAAAGAGGTGAAGGAGAGGAAGAAGAAGAAGGCGGAGGAAGAGGATGAGGAGATAGGGAAGAAGAGAAGGTAAAAGGGTTGAAAGGGGAGAAAAAAGAGTGGTGTTGAGTTCGGTAAAGCATTGAATAAGAGACAGATAGGGGGAAACACACACACAAATATTTTTTGCTTTCTTACTTTAAACTTCTCCCTTATAATTTTTTCCAAACCAAAACCCCTTCTATCTTTTTATTTCCCTTTTTCTTTTCTTGTACTTTTCTGAGGGGGGTTTCACTTGAATACTAGTTAGTACTTGAGTATTTATAAGTCAGTTTCTAATGGCAAATTTAATACATTGACTTATTTTGTAAGATTACACAGATTACATACTAATAATTCAATTATTCCCATCCATAATATTTTATGTAATTTGGGGCCACTGCAAATTTATACCCTTTTACTGGTGGGAAGTTCAAAATTTAAACAAATTTGCTTTTCTAATTCTTACTTTAAGTACTCAAGTTTACTAAAATGACAAAAGCGACCTAACTCTCACAAAAAATTTCCTTAATTTCTCATTTAAGTCCTAATTCAAAATTATAACTAGTTGGTAACGTTTCTCTTTTTTGATTGATCTGCTTAATCTTATATTTGCCTTGCAATTTAGGTTAGAAGGGTTCTTACTATGTGAAAATACTCTTCATATTAATGAGTTTGCTTTTTTAGTTTTTTAACTTCATACGAAAATATATTTGTTGCTATTAATTAACGTGGTAATCTTTTTTTTATTTCTCGCGAAAATTTCTATTAACATAACTCCGTACTTTAATATAGTTGTTCGAAGAATTTTAAACAAAAGATGAGTTAATTAATGAAGTAGATTTAGGGTTATTTCAAAGGATTAAAAAACCCCAATATCACAAACCCTCTATTTTTTACATTTGGTACATGAATGAAGTGTAGTCCAACCAACCAAAGACCTAACAAATTTTTTTTTAAAAAAAAAAAAAGAAAGGCCATGAAATGAAACGAAACTGCTACTAAAAAAAATTGTTCTTTTTCTTTTAGGGGGTGAAACTTTTCTTCTTTTGGAAGAATGGTCCCATTTCTTTTGACTAATTACGTAAGCTTATCTTAGATATTGCTTTATTCGGCGCTCTTAATGGTATTTACCATTCGATTTGCTTTCCCGCTCTTTACACTTTTCTAATTTGCTACGGAAAACTTCACTAATTCCTTTCCATCTAAAGGAAAAA